TTCGCATAATTGACTACTTAAAATGCGAAAGGAAGTTCTAACTGACCAGTCAGTCGGAAGAGCGTGTGGTGTGTGGCGCAGAAGTTGAACTTCCGTTGCGGGCACTTGTTGCTTGCACTTGTCTCAGCACCGCAAGCCTCGCCCCCAACCTCGCCCCCTCGAGCTGGACACTTCTGCCTCAGTGGGCCAACGGGCAACGTTTGCATGCAAATGAGCTGAGCGCGTGGCCCTTTGGGTAATCAGGTGAAATGGTCACGACCTGTTAATCGTTTTATGATTGTAGCGGTGCTTTTGTTTCCTGTTTAGCCAAGCAGCGGCAACGGTAAATTCGTGCAACACTCGCTGCAACTGCAACGACAGCAACTTGCCAACGTGCCACAGGCAAAACCCTTTTCCTTTTGTTTGGCTCAGTTTTATTTAAATTGTAACGCACCCGCTGAAGACAGACGTCTGGCACAGCGATTCCGATGCCGATGCCGATGCCAATGCCGATGTCGATTCCAAACCCAAACCCAATCCCCAATCCTGAACAGCTTATGCGTTATTCATGAGCTGCATACGAAACATTTTCGAGTTTTGCCTCTGCCAATTGGCAATTGGTGCAACGTTTTCGACTCCGACTCTGACTTTGACTTTGGCCAACGCGTTGGCGTTCCGACTGCCGGGCAATCGGACAGCCGGGCAGCCGAGCAACCGGGCAACCGGTCAGCCAGGCACTGGTTAAGTGCTTCATTGTCACCCCCAGCGCCCAATTAGACACCTGAGCTGAGCTGCAGTTGTCGCCTGTGCTCGTCTTATCGCCTGCTCGCATTTGTAAGTCGATTAGATGCCTTGCCACCGCCTGTTGCATGAACAGCAGTCGCAACAACTGTTGATTTACTCGAAACGATGCAACCGACTCCATTTAAATGAGACCTCATCTCAAATTTGTTACGGAATTTGTACGCATTTGCGACTCCGTTTGTCGCTTCGTTATATTTTCCAATCGCATTAGGGCAGCTTTTCAGAGTCTGTTTTAAATCGCTAGAGCAACAAAATGTTCCCTAGCATTGCACAGTGTTCTACATAAGGATTAAAATAAGTAATTTAAAATAAATGTTTAAATACAAATATATAAAATATTCTTAGAATATTATATTTGAATAAATATTGTAACAGTCATAATCGTGTAGGGCAACCCAAGCCCCTTTTGGGCGCGTTTTCACATATTTTAAAGCAAGTTCATGGTAAATAGTTAGCATGAAGTTAAATTTGATTATGATTTATTCTGAGAAGCTGGTTACAACTGAAAGTTGTCAAATGTTTATTAAGCTAATCAACGGGAAACTGTCCGTAAACAATGTTCGATGCTGCCAGATGTGCAATAGATAACAATCTGGCAGCCCTGTAACTGAAACCTACTGTCAAATGCAGCTGAACTGCTTGCCTCATTTAAGGCAGGCACTTAACTATAGGATACGCTTAAAAAAAAAAGAGAGAAGCATCTTAGGTTAAAGTGGCTGTTAACTTTGACAGCAACAGAAACCAGAAAGCTTGAATAAATAAGCAAGTAAATAAAACCGTCACGTGTGCTCATTGTCAATTCCTTATTTTCTATTCGCAATTAAGCGGAATTTTTCTCGCCCAAATAACTTAAAGCATTTTTAAGAGTTTGAAGAAATACGAAACACGTTTCGTCTATGTCCAAAATACTAAACACAATTTACATATTTAGACAATATATTTTTAAGGCTTTGGCCGAACAGCAGCTCTATAAATACTCCCCGTTGTATTTTGTGCAGCCAAAGTGGCTGCCAAACAGCAAATCAAAAATGTTCGAAACGTAAATGGAACAAACATTATAGCTGGCATAAGCAGACCCGGCTAAAAATACAATACCATACAGTTGCATATAAGTAGTAGAGGGCTTACATAGTGTATATATCTATGAGCAGATGCTGCCGTCGCTGAAGTTTTGAAGGTGAACTTTGAGGATTTGGCTGAGATTGCATAAGTGGAGCAGCGGGCAGAACTGCCTACAGTTCCAGCCTTTGCGCTGGCATAAACGCACGTAAAACGCTGGCGAAACGCGCACAAATAATTAAGTATTGGAAATGCTGAGAAATTCCAAGGAAAATGCAACACGCAGCAGAAGACAGCAAAAAGTTGTTCCCAGCTGAGACACCAGCAAGAACAAGAGAAAACTAGGTGGGGGACGGGGGGTAGGTTGGCTGGGCTTCGGGCCAGACTAGCTGACGTGCAGTTAGAAATACAGCCGGACTGGAGCCAGCTGCAAGCTCCTGATAACTGGCCACATGGGCGTAGAAACAGGGGTTAGATAAATATTACATAACAGTTCCGCATATTGAACATTATCTCTTATGTTAAGTATATGCTGTTAACATATGCAAAGCTTTTGTCTGTTAACAGTCTGTTGCAGTTGCTTGCTTACAGCGCAAAATGCTTTAATGTTAACAGCTTGACGGCTGTGGGAATTTATTTGTTTATTTTTTTAGGAATTCAGTATTTGCTTTAATATAATAATAACTTGTCTAACAGCTTGTTGTTAACATTTGGCAGCACATTCCCCTTAACAGCACACAACCTTAAACAATTTAAAGCTGAGCTGGCTAGACTCCATTCATGTTGATGTTAACTTTAAGCTACTTTTAACTTTAGACTGTCTACACTAAGAAGCCTAAAAATTGTTAAACTTAAAAGTAAAGCTGTAGCTAAGCTCTTAATATAGAAGTAATGTATGACTGGTTATATTAACAGTCACAAGTTTTAGAGTACTGTTAGGCTGTAACATGTTATGCCAAAGAGTGCTCCAAATTACGATTTAACTGTTAAAAGAGTGTTAGTCGTCGCTGGTGCTCGCTGGGAGTTCTTGTTGACCCCTAAACTACGCTTCTGGCCTGATCTTGAGTCAATACCAATTAGTAAGCGCTGCACAGCGCACATCTATACAATTGTGAGAACCTTATGGCCAGCGTGTGAGTATGATGAAATGTCAGATGAGGCAACGGAGCTGAAGATGTAGCTGTAGCCAGTAGCTGTAGCTAGAGTCGGAGCTGGTGCACCCGCTGCGGGGTCGAGCCATATAGAGCGGGCAGCCAGCCAGGCTAGCAGGCTGGCAGGCTGGCGGCCAGCGAGCGTTCTATTTTGACAGTCATTATGATTAATTTAAATCATTAGGAAGCCTAGGCAGGTAGAGCGTTGTGCGTTGTGCGTTGTGCGTTGTCCAGTTTGAGTTGCGAGTCTTGAATCCAGATTTTAATTAAATGCAGGCGGGCGCAGTGGCATCACTTGTGGACTATTCCTATTCCGCGGAAGAGACAAGCTGGCGACAACGGCTGCCCAGACACGGAGCAAGGCTGCTGAAGTCTGGAAAAGGCAATGTTTGCCATTTGCAGCGGGGAACGAGCCAGGAATGCGTCGATGTTGCTGCTGTTGCTTCTGTTGATGTTGCTGTCGGTGGCTTCGTCTCGATTATCAACTGGGAGCAATAACTGGCCACTGGCCACTGGCCACTGGCCACTGTATCGATGGATGGATTGTTTGGCAGCTCGACTGTATCTGTTAGTCACTGCACGTGGCCAGTGCGCTGGTGCAGCGTTTTCTTGCGAACGGCTATTTAAGGACATTGCGCAAATACTCAAGACTCGGGACGAGCTGAAGGGGCAGCAGCAGCAGCAACGCCACCGCCGCCACCACCACGCAAATCCTCTAGAGCATTTGCTGACCATATTGGCCCTCGCCAGCTGAAATTCCTGGCATAGTTTAAGTGTATCGCTTTTTGTGCGCCTAGGGGGACTCGGTCGCTGGCAACTGAGATTCAACTTCGATGTTTGCTCAAAATAACAAATTAACTTAATCAGCGCTGATAAGCAACAAAATGGCCGTTCGTCGATGTGCAATGGATAATTAAAAACTCAATCACGCAGCGCCAACAAATAAAATAAATAAATAACAAAAATAAATAAGAAACAGCAACAATAACGTTAACGTTTAACGTTAACGTTGACGCGATACGCGACACGCGCAAGTGGGCGGAGTTGGCAGCCCCAATGCGATCTATGCGTCGGCGCAGCCAATCAAATGCACGCAAATGGCAGATGTATGCACAAATGAGTGTTGTAATTTATGCATACAAGGTGTCTAGCGAGAGAGCACGAGGGACAGATACACACACACACACGCACATGAGCGCACACACTTGCATATTGCTATATACATAAGCAATCAGTGCGCTTAATTAATTAAGCCATAAAGCTGCACAACAACAAAAAACGCAGCTCTTATATACTAAGCGCTCTCTTTGACGCGCGCAATAAAGAGAAGCGCGTTGTTCTCTCTCGCACGCTGCTAAGCTCGCTCTCTCTCTCTCTCTCTCTTTGTCGCGCAACCGGTTGTGTGGGCATGCATGCTCCAAGTTTGGAGCAAACATTGAACGCCGCTGCGCCGTCGCTTGCCATACGCGTGCTTTGTTATTAGGTATTTGCACGCCATCTGAAGCACAACGAAGGCAACAATCGATCGCAAAGTTAGCTCGAGACCAAATATACAAAACAACAGAAATACAAAAGCAGCAGCAGCAGCAGCAGCAGCAACGGCGGCAGCAACAACAACAACAGCAACACTCACGCGCAGTTTTCGCTACGTTTCGAATTTGGCAGTACCACATTAAATCAGCAAATAAAGCAAAAAAGACCAAAACAAGTGCCAAGCATCTCTCCAGCGCAGCGACAAATAAGTCAATACAAAACAAAACCAAAAAAATAAAAACAACAACAACAACAGCAGCAGCTAAAAACAACAACAAACAGTTACAAATTACAAATGTGCAATTCATGAATTGCATTTGCAAACGCAACTTAAACGCATTTATCAACATTTTGGCGCATTTGCATAGCGAATTCAAATTTGCGCGCGCGCACACACACAAATCTTGTGCAACACTGCGACTGTTAAGCGCCTGTTAAGCTGTCTGTTAGTTAGCAGCAGCAGTTGTCAGTTTTTCTTGTGTGCTTGCGCCGCGTGTGTGTGTGCGTGCGTGTGCTGCAAACCGAAAGTTTCGTGAATTAATTGTTAATAATAATACAAATATATTATTCATATATTATTGTTATTAATAACAAGCTGCAGCGCGTGCAGCAAACGGCGTTCGTGTTAATAACTGCAGCGCCAGCAACGGCAAGCTGCGCAAACAGCTGACGGCGGCGGCAGCGACGGCGGCGGCCACAACAACAACACTGCGCGCTCGTGTGTGTGTGTGTGTGTTTGTGTGCACTTGTGTGCGTGCGTGTGTTTGTGCGTTCTTAGTGTTTATTTTTGGAATTAAAAAGCTAGCAGCCGATTTGTGAGGCAAAACTAAAGCTAAAGCTAAAACCTAAAATCGAATCAAACAAAAAAAAGTGTGCCGCAGCGGCAATAATAGACGCGCGTGGTGCCTTGGATTTATTGTACGGCTCCACGGTGGATAACTTTTACCTGAGAATGGATCCCACGCGCGGTGACGCGCGCTATAACATAAACTACTCAATGAGTAGTATAGGCTTAAGTCTGGCCGATCAGGCCGACATGTATGGCAATCCCGCGGTGGCAGCGCTTGGCGGTCGCCCACCCAGCGGCGGTTTGCTCCAAAGCATGGGCGGCGGCGGCGGCGGTGGCGCGGGCCTAGCCATGCAGCGTCCCAATCCCGCGGCGGTGGCAGCAGCGGCGGCGCAGCAGCAACAGCAACAGTGCCAAACGCTGGGCAACAGCCAAACGCACAGTCCGCAGCATCAGCAGCAGCAACAGCAGCAGCAGCAGCAACAGCAGCAACAACAACAGCAGCAACAGCAGCAGCAACAACAGGCGCGCGGCTTAAAGCGCAGCGGCAGCGACTGCTACGAGGATCATCGGTCAAGCGGCGGCATGACGCTTCAGGGTCTGGACAGCTGCGCCGCTGGCAGCGTCGCCAGCGGCGGCGTTGACGTCGACGGCGTCGATAGCTACAACGCGCTGCCCAATAAGAAATCACCGCCCGCCAATGGCAAAAAGACAAAGGGACGCGTCAAAATCAAAATGGAGTACATCGACAACAAGCTGCGCCGCTACACGACCTTCTCCAAGCGCAAAACGGGCATCATGAAGAAGGTAAGCAACTAGACCCCAAATATCCCAAGACCTACGAGAATTCCCTGTTGTTAGTTTCTGCTCACGACATGTGAGCTACAAATATTTGATAGTTTATCTGTTGAGTGACTAAATATATAAAAGCTTAGACACAGCGAAGATAGTAGTTATCTGTCCCCTGGTTCCAAGAATACATCTACTTAGATTAAGCTTAAAAAAAGCACTCAACACATATTTATAGCTTAGCTTGGATTTAATTTCTACTCGGCAACTAAATATTAGAGAAATTTAAATTGTCCAGTGAATAGAATAGAATAGAAAATAAACAGTATAACGAAATAATAATAGAGCAAATACTCTATGGAGAAAATTAATCTCCACGTTAGAAGTTTTATTTATATGGACACCGTTTTTGTCGAGGAAATCTAAGTATTTACATTCCCCCATGCTCGCGCTTTAACCTGTTGTGAATTATAGGCGCATACTGTTGTTTTCTTTTACAAAGGAGTCTTTGTTTTTCTTTTTTCTTGTTAATTTTTTTTTTGTTAGGGGCAGTTAGCATATGTGTAGGCAGCCTGCGAGTGTGTAGCACGTTTTGAGCTCATGTGCAATTAATAAATGCTACCGAATCCTCAATTCACTCTGGAGTCAAGTCAAGTTGCTGCGCCTATGGCATTGTTCGGCGTCTGCAGACCGCAGTGCTTTATCGTTGTGTTGCCATCGTGCTCAACCTGAGCTCCTTAATCCGCCCAATGCCGCCGCCCCCTCCGTCTGTTGGCCAACTGTTGCCTGTTTGCTTTGGCGGCGGCGGCGCTGTGTAAGCGCGGTAGCCACGATTCCGATTCCGATTCCGAATTTCCCTTTGTTTTCGGCTTCATAAAATGTTAATTTGCCGGCCGCGCAATTGCATTCAAAGCGCAGCCCAATACCACTACCTTATGGCTATACCTACAAATACTTCTATATATATATATATGTATGTATGTATGGTATATATATATATATATATAGAAGTATTTGTAGGTATGTGGATATAGCAATCGCAATTGCCTTCCTGTGCTGCATTTGCTGTTGCGTGCCGCCTGGCCTCATTGTCATGCGAAGATGCAACTGCCACTGCCACTGGCTTTGCCTGGCCTCCATCCTAGTCCGCTTCTTGGCCAAGTTTTTGCCTTCTTTCAACTGACCAATTTTCACACGCAAACTTACATAATGTGCCGCTTGGCTCGCATATGAAATGCTTAACATTTTTAAATAGACTTCTTGGCCTCAAAGTCGCTACGATCAAAATACAACAAAAAAAAAACAGGGAAAAAAATGGAAAAATCGCCAGCGCTAAATCACGATCTCAGCACGATCTTAACTACAACAACAACAGCAAAAATCTTATGAAATATTTTGGTTTCAAACGAGACAAAATGTGAAAAGGAAAAACTCTAAAGTTGGCCTCGAAGCGGCTTATACCCTTGCCTAACTGGGTGTGTGTGGGTGTCTCATCAGAGAGCTAAGCACAGCTGATACGAATATTACCTAAGCAGGATTTCAAGGAAATGTCTTGAAATTTCATTATAATGTAATTTAGTCTTTAAGATTGGATAAAGTTAAATGGAATGTAACTTACAGAATACATTCTAAGGTGAAGACTTTGTCACAGAAAAAAATGGAAGAGACTTAATTTCGTTTAGTTTTGAATGACTTACAGTTTAAATCTGCTGAAATTTAATTAATATTATTATATTTTATTATTAGTTTTAAAACTATTATTTCCATTATTTTATTCCTATCTATGGGTAAATAAGTATAACAACTTTTGATCGTTGTTAAGGTTTCTTAAAAAATGTGGCGACTTTTTGAAGTTTTTTCGTTGATTTCGTTTCGAGCGCCTTGCAAAAATATTTGACCCCAGAGACATAAGTTTCTGTTGCTGCTTTTAGCTGGCGACTTCTGTTGTTGTTGTTGTTGTTGCTGCTGCTGCTGGCCTGGCTTGCTTTGGGGGCCCTACTTATGACAGGCGCGCGCCTCTTGACAGGGACAAAACTTTTGTTATATATTTTTAGTGACTTTGATGTGGCCCTCATCGATGTCCACGCCGTGGACAGTTGACAGGCAGACAATGGATGCGCTTGGCGCTACACACACACACACACACACAGGCATACGCACACACGCACACGTCCTGGCTACAAATTGCGGTTATTGAACCTGATCAGCTCAGCTCAGCTGGATTGGCACAGGCAGACGCCACAGTGCCGAAAGCAACCTGTGTCCAATACCAATTTTGGTCATTTAGCAAAAGCTACTAACAGAAAGCAAAACAAAAAAAAAAGATGTGATCTTCGCGTGGGCGCTTGGCCCAAAAAGGCCAAAAGTGAAAAGTGAGCTAATGTCAACGCAATGATCTCATTTGTAGGCCTGGCCTAATTGCGTGGGCTGAGTTGTTGCTGCTTCTTCAAAAAGTCTGCATAAAATGCAGGGGCTGTCTGTATGACAGTATGTGTTTCTGTGTATGTGAGTGTGTGTAGCACACACGTGTGTGGCTGTCTGTCCCACTGTGTGTCTGCCTGGCCGCCTGTCTGCCAGCCTGGCTGCCTGACTGGCTGACTGGCTGCCCTGTCGTTTGCCATGTAAAACGCTTGCAACAATGGGGCACCGCCAGAGGCAGGCGCAAAATGCCGCCAAAAGGTGTTAAATTGAAATCACGAGGCGCGCAGACCTGAGGCCAAGCTGGGGGCCAAGCATTGGCTTTGGCTTGGGAATTGTTTGCGTCTTGTGGCCAAGCACGGAAGCGTATTGATACCCGTAGCAGCGGCAGATTGTGCACAGATAAGCCAACCGGGCACAGCCGGCACAGGGCCGACAGTTTGGCTGCGTCGGCTCGCCTTTTGGCCACATGCAACATGCAGCAGCAACAGCAACAGAAACAGCAGCAGCAGCAGCAGAAGCAGCAGCCGATGCAACAGCGGCGGCAGCAGCAGCAACATCAGCCAACAATCGCCTTCTAACAAATGACTCTGCCGCTCGCTGCGGTCTCTGGGGCTTGTCCTGTCAACAACCTGCCCCCGCCCAGCCCTAGCTGCTTCGTGTCCTTTTGTCTTTGTGTTCGAAATTCAAATTGACATGAATTGTTGGCCCGCTGACTGCTGCTCGGCCCGGCCTAGTCCCAGACCCCAGTCCACGGTCCCGGTTGCAGACACCTACTCAGCGGCCCGGGCCGTGTCAATTGTTTGCATTTACACATGTTACACATAAAATTGGCAGCCACTGGCAACAAGAGGCAGCAAGACCAGTCTCACTGCCACGTCAACAGCGACAACAACAATGTGCACAACAATTTCATTAATATTAATAAATGCTATGAGTGCGCGCGTTTTGCGCGCGTTTCTTGCGCGATTCCCTCGCTAGCGAGTTATTTATGCGCTCAAAGCCATTGGCTCTGCTCGGCTCTCTGCTCAGCTCTCTGCCCGGCATCGCAGCAGACAGCAACTTTATCGCCTTAGAGTAATTACGAGCTGTTGATAGGCAGCTTAAGCTACCGTCTCGCGGCCTGGAGCAGGCCGCTTTCAATATCTGCATTAGAGATGAGCGCGTGATTTAGCCCACGAAATGTGGGTGCTGGCAGAAGGAAAGATTAGACAAAATGTTTTGCAAGTATCCTACCATTTGTTTCAATTTGTTTCCTAAAAGTTCATTTGAATGAAATAGTTGTTGCTGAGCTACTTTCATAGGCCCAATTTGTTATATAAATATAAATATAAATATAAATATTTAATTTATCACTTAAATTAATTAGATAAACGTATTTTTCAATCAACAAGTCGAAGACAAGCAAGCTTAGTTGATAAAACGACACAATGAAGGAATACTCAATCACATTTATTGCACTTCAATTTATATTTGGTAAAAAATCCTTACCAAGGTTAGGATGGGATTGATCGGGTTCACAAACCAAATTAAAACACAAAAAGTTGGTTGGATTCGCCGGTCTGGTCTTTTTTGTAGAAGATTAAAAATTAAAAAATATAAGAATATTTTTAAAATTGTTTTAAACAAAAAATAAACAAATCTTCATTTCATTAATACAATTTTTGCGAATCTTTGAGTAGAGAAGAGAAAATGTATATCTGATTTATATTGTTCTTTAAAGTAACTAAACCTTATTCAATTAATATAGTCGAATATCGTTATCTCATTTATGCATGAGTATCTTTTGAAAGAGTATATCAATCGTTTTTGGTTGCTGTCAAGTATGCCAAGCATCTATGCCTATCTTTATAGTAAGTTAGATTAGTTAGTTAACCATTAATTTAGTACATTTGCCACTTAATAGTTGTAATTATGTTTGTATTTAGTCTCACGCGGCCAGCTCCAAGAATTTGGTAGCTGCAGCAGCATTTGGCCTGATCTGTTATCGCTGCAACATAATCGCATAGTTTAACTGAAAATTTATGTGCCGCTTTTAGCTAAGGGGCAGACTACGTGTAGTAAACATAATTTTAACCACACTTCCTCTTCTCTCTCTCCCTCTCTCTCTCTCCACGCCCGTGCAGGCCTACGAGCTGTCGACGCTGACTGGTACCCAGGTGATGCTGCTGGTGGCCAGCGAGACGGGTCACGTCTACACATTTGCCACGCGCAAGCTGCAGCCGATGATAACGTCGGAGGCGGGCAAACAGCTGATACAGACGTGCCTCAATTCGCCGGATCCGCCAAGCGTTGGCGGCGGAGATCAGCGCATGTCCGCGACGGGCTTCGAGGAGACGGAGCTGAGCTACAACATCGCCGACGAGGACTCCAAAGTAAGACAATTGATTTACGGCCATCACGGGCACGCTCATCTCGCACACCCCCAGGCGCCGCCCTCGCACTACAGCCTGGAGCAGAGCCTTATGCAGTCCGGCTACAGCGGCGGCCAGGCCTCGCCCCTGTCGCATGCCCAGGCCTACGGCGGACATGCGCACCATGCGCATGTGCCGCATGTGCCGCCGCCGCACTCTACACATTCACACATGTCCCATACGCATGCCCAGCGCTAGGGCCATGCCCCTGCTTCTCTAGATAGCTATACTTGGGCCTACAATTAGGTATAGTTGGGTGCGTGTGTGCGTATGTGTGTGTGTGTGTGTGTGTGTGTGTGTATAGGCAGCATTGCAAGTTTAACATTAGCAGATCCAAAGTGCAGAATTTTGGCCATGAATTGTCACTGCAAATGTAATGGGTTGTGGTGATTGGGCCAATTGAAGATCTCGCCGCTCGTTTTGTTGTTTAGCGTAGTGGGCGTGGCAGCTCATTTTAAACATATTTTGTTTATACTAGTCAAAACTCTTACTTAAAGGCGACTGTGCCATAGCAAAGCTACAGCTCTCATATATAAATACCCATAGCAGTACCAATAGCCATAACTATCATATACATATATACATATATAATCAGCTGCAGCTACCTAATCAAATCGTACCGTATCGAACCCAGTGCCATCAATCTCTAACGTTTCTACCAGACAAATCCCCGTGCAGACACCACTTGGGACACACCGAACAGGCAAAGTAAAGAAAAAACACATAGCCGAGACTGCTTTAGTTAGTCCTTAAGCATAAGTGCAATAAAATGAATTAGCAAAGAACTAGATGAACTAGAAGAACTAAAAGAACTAGACAGAGACAACACTCTATAAAGATTTGCTGCGCAGAGTCTACATAAAAACTTAACTACATTTCGTTAGTTATGATCTTAACTGTGTTTTTTTTTTTTTTGTTTGTTTAATAATTCGTTTAGCAAATGTTTAGCGAGGCGGCGTCCGGCGGCCTCCAGTGCGATGAGCGTGCTCTAACCGAACCTAAAAAAAATCATATTTATATATAGTAGTTGCAAACTATTATTATTTTTTGTTTTGTGTGAAGAAATGATCATCGTTTTAGCTTAAACTTAGCGCTATTTATAATTTATAGTTATGTTTATTTGATTCTTCTTTTAGCTATTTTGTTTTTATTGGCTTATATATCATTCGATTCGATTTGCTAGCTGGGCATTAGCCATCAAATGTGGCACAGCTACTGAATATATCAATTTGCATAATTATATTTTAGGCAAATTTAACTTGAGCTTAAGTTTATGCGTGGCAACTTAAATGAATTTAATTATGATAAATACATTAACAATGTTTAAATGTAAATATAAATGACTGTCAAATTCTTCTTCTAAAGTTTAAGAAATTTCGAAAGAAAAAAGCTATTCAAATTTCTCTAAACAAAATTCAAGCTCCTCATTTCCTGCTATGCATAAAAAGAAGCCCAATTAGCAAATCGAGTCCTAAATTGTACTTACCCTTTGAGCTGCCTGCTGCTCTCTACTAATATTTATTGTATATTTTTTTAATATAAAAACCAAATTACAAAGCAGCTCAAAGCATATGATTCTTATGTGGCATGACAATAGATCATAGAAAATAAAACAATTACGTATTTGCAAGCAGTTTAATAATATTATTTATTAATTAAAGCGTATTTAAATCATAATTTCATGCTAATTTAGTAAAGTTTGCATTTCTGTCAAACAGAAATACAAAAAATCAAAAAAAAAAAAAAAAATCAAAAAACAAACGCAATTCTCTAATAAATACTCGTAGTTAAATTAATTTTAAATGCTTGTGCATTAGCTAAACAAAAACGAAAAACAAAATACTCTTTTAAAGACACACAACACAAATAACCACAAGTTATTAGGCTAAGCGAAAGACATATATGTTTACAAATCCAATATAGTAACTATATAAATGCATATATATATATTTTATTTAGCGCAATATTATAAATTAATAAAAAACGAGAGTAAAGAATATTATAGAATTACCCAACCTCCTCCTGATTATCCTTAACGCAATTTCCCCAAAAAAAATGGGCCTCTAACTAGTTTCACAGTTTTCAATTTTCAATTTTCAAGAGCAAGGTTAAGAGCTTTACATAACCAGCCACACGAGCTGCCAGTTTCTTGTTAACCTACACGCGAAAAAAAAAACTTTTAAAAAAGAAAAATATTATCCAGCTGGCGAGTGGGCAGGCCCAGCAGCTGAATGAATTTGTATCTTTAGCCATTGGCTTTGGCTGTATCTGTATCTGCATATATACGTTTGTATCTGTATCTGCTGAGTTTCATCATTGCGTTGTAAAAGCTTCCGCTTGTGCTAGGTGAAGTGCCCACTCGATGGGCTTGCGGAGCACTGAGCGGGGTGCTTATGAACAATAGACTCGCTGATAACTGCATGTGGGTTTTGCGTGTGACGCTTGTGACGTCATGACGAGTTCATAAATCGATCAACAACAATTGGCTCCTCGAAGAGTCAAGTCATGCATCAGCAGTTAGCTAACCCAGCTCCGCTGTCCCGCTCCGATCTTGGCATGCAAATCGCGGGCTCGCGGCATTTTCAATGCCAGGCCAGGCCGGGCCGGGCCAGCTGCCAGTCGTGTAGGCTTCATCGCATCTCTTTGCGGCCCGATGACGTGTGCCACCGAGAGACACTCTTTTCGGCTGCTCGACTGTGGCCCCAACAACAAACAGCTGTCGTTTCATTCGTTTCATTCGCTTCATTCGCTTCATTCAGCTCCAACTTGGAGACGATGAATGAACGCCAAGCACAACGGCAGCAGGCACCACGCAAATGTTGTGGGTGTGACACCAACGCCGCTTCGGGTCACAACAAACACAACAAAGAAGTAGGTGTGCTTCGCAAGCTAGTGCTTGACTAAATGATGCCCTGTAAAAAAATATTCCAGAGACTCGTTCGTAAATGAGAACTTTGATTTTTGCTAAGTTTCCTGAGTAGAGAAATCCAGTTGATGTTCCTTTTAATTGAAGTCTGTCTAGTAATGACTGAGATTGATTGCATTTTCATTAATATTCTTAAAATACGATATACTTCACACGTAACTAAACGTTCCACATTTTCATTAGGTAGAGCAGCAGTTCAATTTTCTGACCACTTAAACTCTCCAGGTTTCTACTATAACTGGCATCTTTAATGGTTATTAGTTTGCTTTGGCAATAGAAAGTGTATTCGAAATTTAAGTTAAACTGAAACTGTATTTATAATTTTCTCACCCAACTTCTTACATGTTATTGGGCATGTTGCCCATTTCAGTAAATTCTCGACAGCATTATCTGCTTTTAAATTCCTCGAGTTCTGCTTGCTCGAACGATACCTTCGTTTAGTATTTTGCATACCCATTTCATATATGTTGTCTGACAGGGTATTTGGCAGGCACGTCATCACCATTTGTTATTATTACTGCTGCTGCTGCTGTTGCTGCTTGGTTAGCCAGCTGACTGATAAACTTCATAGCTTGTTATTGCCCGGGGCTGCTGTAGGTCGTTCTCTGACACTGCCGCCAACTCCGAGTCCAGCCAAGGTTAATTGTCCGCATGCAGTGGGTTGCTCTTTCAGTTTGTATTTGTTGTTGCTGTTGCTGTTGTTGGGCAACTTTGCGCCACTTTATACAATACTTATGTATAGCAAACTAATATGCGTAGCTTTTGGCTGCGCGGGTGTTTGCCTTCTTTGGTCGCTCACCTGCGCATCTTAAACGCCCACGCCCACCAAAATATATGTATACAAATCACAAAATACAAAATGTTGTAAGTTTATTGGCTTTAGCTTTTATTAGTATACTTTTCAAAGTGTTTGCTGATCGTGTGCAGTGACCCTTTGGACTTTTATTTTTGTTTTTCTTAGGTACAGTTTTGTGCTTTGGGTTAAATGTTTGAGCCTAAACTCTTTCATGGCTATAACATATTCTTTTGGGCAGATTTTTACGTTATTTAAAATGCTTAACAGTTTCTTAACCATCAAAAGAAAAATTCAATTTAATAAAAAATAAATGCATCTAGTAAATCTAGCTTTGGGCTTGTCAATGGCACTTGGAAAATATTATTCAGAAATAATATTCCTTATTATACAAATCAAGAAAGTTGTAAAGTTTTAAAAATATTCAAATTGAATTTAATTATTGTTAATTTGAATATTCTTGAGTACTTTTAAGTAGTGCTGCAGCTCATGTTATCAAATGTGAACTCCCTTTGAGCTAAAATTAGCTTATATTGAAGCCCATTCGAACAATGCGAACTCCTTGAACTATTTCAAGTTGTAGCACACCCAAAGTCCACCTCCTCGCGCCGCAACTCCTCCAACTGCTTAGCTCTTGTCCACAAACACATACACACACGGACACACATGTTCTTGGCCCCCTCTACGGATCGAACCTGGGCACACTAAGTACATATCAGTTTGAGAAATTAAAAGCATTTTGCGGTTCGGCTGACTATCGTAGCCGCGTGCCGCTCGAGCCTCTAACGACATTTCAATGATTTGCTGCCCCTGTTGCGGCTGCTGCTGCTGCTGTTGCTGCTGTTGTTTTTGGGGCCAAGCGTCACCAAGTTGGCCACGTGCGCAGCACAAGGCAGCGCGACAGGCGAAACAGACGGCACAAAAGCATTTGCAATGCTCGCCGATTACGTACGAGGGCGACCTCTGTCAGTGGCCGGCCAGTGGCGGTTGCCATCGCGAGCCGCCACCAACAACGCAACAACGCAAAGAATCTTGCGTGGCCCGAACCCAGCGACTGCGTCTGCAGCATGGAGCTGGACGGCTGCGGTTGCGGCTGTAGCTGGAGCTGGAGCTGGATTTTGTGTTTAAGCCGCCGCGCGTTGAGTTCTGACCACATGCCGCCACAATGTCCTCTTAATTTCCTAGGCCGCAGCTGTGCGATGATATCGTCGCGTTGTCCTCGCAGCTATCTCCCTCTTGCTACCACCCTGCCACCCGCTCTCGCTCTCGCTCTGGCTCTCTCTCTCTCTCGCTCCGTCTGTCTCTGTCTGTGGGCTGTTTTTTAATTCAACTGATTGTACTGCAGCTTCTGGAATTCGGCATTTCTTAAAGCCGCACATTGTGCGCGTCGGCAACATCTTGAGGCTGAACTGTTGATGCCACCGCTGGTAGGCAGCAAGGTACCTGAACTGCGACTCGCTTGCAACTTCTTGTGGCCGTTTGCCGCCAGCCAGCAGCCGCCTGCCGCCTTCGCAATCTGCAAAACAGAAAGAAAAAAAGTAAAGTTTAAGAAATGACAATTTGTGAGCTTCTTTTTGCTGATGTTGTTGTTGTTGTTGCTGCTGTTGTTGCTGCTGTTGTTGTTTTTGTGTATTGTTTTTTGTTTTTTTTTTGCTTGACTTGTCTGCAGTCCGTTTTGTGTGCCTCTTGCTTTCATTGTGATTATTTAAAGGCCAAAACCCGCCAGGCGGCCTTAACGAGGCGCTTGTGCCTTTCAGAACTCCTTTGGCGCATTTAGTTAAGCAATTATTGTTGGCAATGCAAACAAATAATGCGTACATTGTATGCAACTGTCTAAGCAGCGATTGTGCAACTGTGCACAACACAACACACATACAAACACACACAACACACACGCGGTACACACACCCGCCGCTCCCTTGTCTGACTTACTCCAATGATTTTCCAAGTTAATCAAAATTCTTTGCTATCCACTATGAAATCTCAACGACCTTACCCCCCAGGCGTGCCCGTCTGCCTTTTGCTAGCGCCATGTGGCAACATGCGCTCCCCGCCACGCCCAAAGCTCTGCCACTGAAGCGTGGCAGAGGCGGCGACAACGGCAACAACGGCGGCAACGGCGGCAACGGCGGCAACTTAGAGACAGCCGCTTACGTAGGTTTTTTTTTCTTTTAGCCTCGCTTCACTGCGCATTTTATGGCTGAGAATTAGTTTTTGTTTCTTTTTTTTGGAGTGGCTTCTTTCATAGATTAGATTTATTAAGCTGTTTTCTGTTGATGCAAGCCGGCAATCTCTTCAATGTCTGATTATCTCGCATCATTTCCAGCTTTTATATCGTAGTTTCGGAGATTGTTCAGATAAGGTTATAAATAAATGTATATTGCCTTTGAACTTGCAAAAAATATTTTCTTATGTTTATATTAGGACTTCTTGAAAAGGCAAATAGCACCACATTTGTTTGTGTTATCGACGAATTCAAAGCTGCCCTCGCTTGCTTATGGAATTAAACCAGCCACTTCTCCTTTGTTAGTTCGAACCCTAGAAAGGCTCATGCCGACACGTTTGTCACTTGGGACACACACTTTCTATTATCACAAAAAGAAGCTGCAGTACAAGTTTCTGATTCTAGTGCCTACCATTGCCAATCGGTCAGGAAAACTTCTGTTATATTGATGAAAATTTTGATTGATTTATGTTGAGTAAATCAAATTAGATATCAAATTAAGCTACTAATAATGTCAAAAATCCTAAAATACCCTATAGCGAGCAGTTCTACTCAAGATAGAATGAAAAAAAAAACAAGAAAGTAAGGATTTCTTGTAGACATTTCCCTTTTGCAAATACGTCAGAATAGTGAAGCTCGTAAATGCAGAATATTACTCTATATAGGAACTACATTTCGACCGATTTTTCCTATCTTCGCTATATCATAAGTGGCTCGAAAATATGAAAAAAAGGAACCAAATTTTTGGCCGATCTTTTCTATGTCAGTTATATGATATAGTGTCTCTATCCGACCGTCTTCGAGGTTGAAGGACAAAACTTAGGTAGGTAGGTTTTAAGCTATAAATGCCCTATATAATGACTGCAAAAGTTTTATAGAAATATATAAGTGTTAACATTTGTGCAGTTTTTTGTTTTTTTTTGTTTTGGTATCTATTTTGATACAATTCACTTAAGTTAATTGAATTATTTTTTCTAACAACTTCAAAGCATTCTCTGAACGCTCTGCTCCAGCTACAGAATATATAAAAATTGTGTTGATTTCAACATTTCATTTCGATTGTGGGCAGGAAATGAGCCAAGCTGAACTGAGCTCTTTTTACTGGTGATGTTTTATTGTTGCTGTTGCCCGGGCACCGGGTACTCGGGTGCTGGGTACTGCCAACTGGCGGCTGGCAACTGGGAAACTGTGGGCAGCAGCAGCTCGGCCGGATTGGCTCTGTGTGGGATGTCCGCGTGCTTCATTATATAATGAAATGGATGGCACAAGTGTGCGGCGTTGGTGCGCTTAGAATTTATTACCGAAGATGTTTTGTCACTGCCGCTAATACCCGTACAATAGACCAACGAGTCGTTAGCTTGTCTCAATTCGTTTTGTAAACATGTGCAAATCGGTGAGAGGAGTTCTTCATTCGACAACAAGAGCAAGAAATATGTTAGAGTATGATGGCAATCAAGTTGTTGTTCAATTCAACAGGTACTTAATATGGGGATTTTAAAAACGAAATGTACTATAGAAAGAAAGCATTGTACTATCTAAGGGTCCGTGGTTTAGCGAAGAACAGATTGTGCTTTCTAAGGGTGCCAGTCGTTTGTTGTTTTTATATAAAAGCCCTGCGATCAGTTTAATATAGCTTGCAATTGATTAAAAAAATATTTTTAATGAAGCCTAGCTGGATTTATTAAACGAAAATTTGTTAGTACTGAACAAAGGTCTTCCTGAAGTGAATTTACAAGTATCCCCATATGCAATAATATTTCTCAAATTAGTGAAATGAAAAGCTTAAAACGGAAAATGATTTTGTCAAATTCAGCAATTCTTTCTTTTTGGATAAAGTGTGAATTAGTGGCCATAGAGTATTCAATGTATATTCCATTAGACACATACTTGTGTACTTCTATGCAAAACGAACGTCATCAGCTAGTCATATTACTCTATAAATTGTAAGCTCTTTCAGTTGATGAAAGTGCCATAAATTTTCAATTAAACTTTATGCTTCTGCACAGATTTTGATAAAGTTCTTGGTCGTCGCCGCCTCGACGACGGCGACGACGACTCGTGCAAATCTGGTGCTTGGTCTAGACGATGATGATGACAGAGGCTGGGACGGCGAACCCAACCTTAGTTTTTTTGTGGCATCGAGCTCATCATCGTGTGATTGGCGCCGATTAAGCAATCCAGGCAAAAACTTTGCATAATGTTGCGCGTGTGGATGTGGATGCTATGCAGGTACTGCCTGCAATTATTTGTGAATTAACATTTATAACACTTGATCCTTGGTTGCTGGCAGAAGGTAGAAAGCGTTGCGCTTGACGCTTCGCTGCATTTAAAAAGTATTTTTCGTGCCTTGCTGCTGCAACGGCGAGTCAAGAAATATTTGCTGCAGCAGCAGTAAGAGCTCTGCCCCAGGTCTGTCCAATTGCACATTTGTCCATTTGGTTGTATGTCTGTTATGCGGATTCATTGCAACCGCAGCCACTTGTTCAAGCTGCCACATGCTGCAGCTACTGCTGTTGCTGTTGTTTTTGTTGTTAATGGTGTTGTTGCTGCTGCTGCTGTTGCTGTGCTAAATTTCACACCAACAATGAGCGCGCGCCACAATGAATGAAAATGAATGACGCGCCACATTGCGTTGCACTTTGGCTTGGTCTTTTGCCTGGCTGGCAGTCCCGGCTAAATCGATACCTTAATTCAAAGGCACGCCAAACCGCATTTTTGGATAATCAACAACGCGTCCGCTGCTCAATTGTGGCACGCGTGAGATTTCCTGTCACAGGTTTCAAGTTGCAAGTAGCCAAAAAATAACAAAACAAAAAAAAAAAAAAACTAAAGTCGTCTGCTTTATATATATTTTTTTGGTGCTTCCGATGGCTTATCTGGCACTTGGGCCTGGGAATTGTGGCAAAGCGAGAAGCGTGTGTGGCTGCTGTTGCTGTTGCTGTTGTTGTTGTGCAATTGCCTTTAAAAAGCTGTTAACATGCGTTGTCATCGCTGCCATATGTTGCACGACACGACGCGACGCGACGCGCCGCGACTCGAAGTCAACTTCGACGCGAATTCGACTCCTGGTCGCCATTGGAGAGACACAATTGCCGCCACCTGGCACAACTGAACCCATTTTGCGCTGCTTGGATCAATCCGCGAGGCTGCAGTTTGTCAGCATGCGTTGATTTCCATTGAAATCTATGCGAAAGTGCAAAGCCCACAGATTTGCGTAGCTCACAGCGCTAGTTATAGCTTCCTCAGTTCACATGTGCCGTCCCTTATTTGGAAGCTTGTGTGGTGCGCAAATAAAAAAAAAAATTAAACAACAAAACGAAATACAAAAAAAAAAATAACAAAACCAGCACAACAACAACCACAACAACAGCAGCGTCGGCGGCGGCAGCAGCCAAGCCGAGTCACACAACAACAACATGCAGCAGCAGCAGCAGCAGCAGCTTGAACGGCTGCGGGGCCAGCGGCAGCGGGACAGAAACTGAGCCGAGTGCAACGTGGTCGCCACATTGGCTGACTTATGACGAAAATAATTGCGGCTATCGCGACTGGCGATCGCGTCATCGTCATCGACATCGACATCGTCAGCAGCGTTGCTTGTAGAAAGCTCATCGAAGCTGTTGTCGTCGTCCCTGTTTGCTATATATACCCTGTAAATAATGGGCAAAAGAGCGTGTCTGACACTCAAAGCAGTTAATCTTGCTCAGATCAAGTCCATGCCAAGAATATTTAGCTGAGTTCAAAAAAGATTTAAGCAACAAACTTGAAACTATTTTTAGCAACAAACTCTAATCTTTTTAGTTCCACTCAAGTAAAGCCCTTACACAGAGCATCTGGCATTCGTACACTTTTGCTGACTGCATTTTAAGTAGGTTTTAGTTGATTTTTTTATTTCTCTGGCTTCCTTTACGCGGCGTTATACGCGGCGTATGAGTAATCAATAATAATTTTATCGCCCGTTTTCTAGTCAGCCTGTGTGGTCGACGCATTTAATTTTCATAATGTTTTAAGACGCACAATCGATTGCCATAATAATTTCACGCAAATATAGCACAAAACGTCGCAAAATGGGGGTTACTGCTGCGGCCAGGGGGTAAATCGAATGCGGGTGCTGGGGCAAGGGGGGAACACACAAGCGGATCCCAACGACAATTTCACATATTGTAATTTAGTTAATTCGCATCGTTCGGCGTACGCAAATTCGCCAACATTGTCTATGCATTAGCTACATGTCGTAGTTGTTGTTGTTGTTGTTGTTGTTTGTGTTGTTGTTACTCTTGTTGTTGTTGCTGTTG